ATAACTAATATTAAATATAACAACCACTTAAAATAATGAGCTTCATCTTTTGAATAAAATTGGAATTTATGAAGGAATTAATTAAAAAGAACCAACTTAATTACTTTTCTTGGTCTTAATTAATGATTTGTCCAATATTGCTTATAATTAGTACAAAAGTTAGTATGAGTTTTACCCTTTGTAAGGAATTCAATTCTCTTTAAAATTGAGATTTTGTTTTCATATAAACTAATACTTGTGTTTTCTTTTCATGCAAGTAACAAAGTGTCAAATTCAAGGAAAAATTTCTTACAAAAAGGAGAGAATGATGAAAACCTATCAAAAGGTTGCACTTGAAAGAACTTAAAGAGAAGCAATAGATTGAGAATATTTTGTGTTTAAGCTTTTTTTGACCTTATCATTTGTATTTGGCTTAAGCCCTTTTAATTAACAACTTACTCGATCTTTATTGAGTTGTTTGGAGGTGTTTCATTTCATCTTTTAGTGGACTTCATCATAATGAGCTACATTAGATATTAGGTTTATTTTATAAATTGGCCAAATCATAATTTTTTAATTAATTTTTACTCATTTTAGAATGAAGCTTCAAACATTGTAAGAGTAAACTCTCTTTAGGAACTACTTCTTATATTTTGAATTTCTGAATTTCATGGTTAGTGACAAATTTTTCTCAACTTATCAATTCTTATGGGTTGTAGCATTATTCTTCTATTTCAAACCCTAATCCACCTTTTTCTTTAATTTCTATATTTTCTTAAAATTTGTCTAAATATATTCCTATGTGAACCGCTGGAATTTTGATTCGAACAGGGTTCATATCACCTATTCACCTTCCTTTTTTTTTTTTTTTTCTTTGTCTTTCTATATTTTAATTTTTATAGCTTTAGGTGTTAAGGATGTATTTAAGGAATAAATTTATTTTATGATCTTTTCCAAAGGTTGATCTTAATTATTCAAACCCTTCCTATTGGGTTTATGACAACCCATAAATCACAGGTTCTCACTCTTGCTAGACCAATTTATTTGGTCAGCCCAAGCCCAACTATATATTATAATTTCTTGATATTATACTAAGGAATATTCCATGAAACATTACATAGAACCTTATAAAATTACTTAACTAAATCTTGTAATAACATATATTAATTAATTAAAATTTTGAAATAATTAAATGAATATTATTCATTTAAACATTTCCAATTTACCGAAAATACATTAACTAACGAATCAATTAATTTTTCTCACTCTCATTCACTCTTTTAAACATACACTTCATTTTAAGAAAACTTTATAATACCAAATTTGATTACTTAAATTAGAATAATTTAATTCCCATAAAAATAAATAAAACACAAATTAAAGGGGAAAAGATTGGATTGTTACATAGACAGTTAAATAAATCTTTCATGCACAAGATTCTTAGAGCACCTCCAACGGAGGTGCTTATGGTGTTGCTTAAGAATAAGCAACGGAACTTCCAAGAAACTCCCATTGGAGTAGTCCTACGTGGCAACTCAGTTGCTTAAATTTTTTTCACAGTCGCTTCTACTAGCAACGGTGCTTAGCACTGAAAAACTTGAAAGAGAGAAATTTGATTGGTCCTCTTGTATCTAGGTGGAATATGAACAGAAATTTTCAAAATAAAAAAATAATAAAACATCCTTCACCTCTTCGACCTCCGTCCGGGGAGGGTTGTTGACGTCGGCCGCCTCAGCACGGCTGGGCCCCTCCGCGTGCGACCAACTCTGCCTGGCCGTCCCCTCCGCACGCGACCCCTCCTCACGGCCTACCCCTCCGCGCGCGACCAGACCACTCCGTCCCGCACGCGGCTCCTCTCAACCAGACCCGTTGGCCGGCGAGCAAACCCCTCCGCCCGCGAACCCCCTCTGCCCGCGCGCGTGCGAACCCCTCAAGCCGCGAAACTCGCCGTCGCGCGAACCCCTCCGCCCGCGAAACCCCTCCAGCCGCGAACCCCTCAGGCCGCGAACCACTCTGGTCGCAACCCCTCCGCCCGCTAGTGAAGAGAGTGAGTAAAGAGCGAGAGGATCGTGAGTGGATCGTAAGTGATAAGTGAGACAGTGGAGCGTGAGTGAAGAGTGAATTGAGAGACGTTGAGAGTGCATCAGAAAAAAAATAAATAAATAAAAAAGGATGTGGTATCAAAAATTTATAATAAAATATAGTGTAAGATGTTAAAAAGTGTAGTATGAGTTGTAAAAAAGTAGAGTTGCTTATAAGCAATTCTCATTGGAGCAAAAATTGTAAAAATGTAGTATGAGTTGCTTATGAATGACGTGGCACAGTGGGACCCATTTAAAGTAGTTGGGAGTTGCTTATAAGCAACTCCCATTGTAGATGCTCTTATGAACAATAAGTGTTAGGTAACATTGTGAGCCATCTGAAAATCACATATTGCACAGTTGATGAAAGAACACACAACACAACAATTTCTTATCTCACATCACCACGACAATGCAAGAAAAAACAATTCATCTTATGTCATAATCGATATAGATGTAAATCAAATATTTGACTCATCAAGCCAATTTCACACCACTGTTATTGCAAGTAATTTATCAACTTCAACTTTGTTATTCAAGAATAAATCATCAATAATATATAGTTGATTGATAGAAACCTTTTAACAATAGTTTCACCTTAATCAATTGTTATTCCTGGAAGAATTCTTTTTTTATTTTTTATTTATTAGAATATTGCATTTTTCCAAATTCAATTCTTATCAACTTTCACCAAACCTAATCTGCATCATCATTTCACAAATACACTACAACACGGCCAAAGTATAGAACAAGAAAACTTGTTTCTAATGAAACGTGAAAGAATTAATAAAAAAAATGGAATGCCAAAGAAGTGAGCAAATTAAATTAATGATGATCGAGCTCAGGTTCAATGGAAAAGGGGGATACATGAATTAAATCATTATTTAATACATGATGCATTGTTGAAACATTTTTATAAATTAATAATAAAATTTAAACCAATTTTAATGTTACAACTCTTTGATTACATGATTTATTTCATTCTTGTAAGACAATTTTGTTTGATGTAGTGTTGGACATCTTAATTAACCATGTTATAAGATACCAGTCCTTTATGTTAGACTCTAATTGATAGTGTTGATTACATGATTTGGTATTTAAAGAATATATTTCTTAAATTATCGTTTTGTAGCATTTATGTTATAATCACTTTAATAAGAAGCGTGTAAAAATATTTTATGTTAAAATTTCAAATCAATCGTGAAAATTTCAAACAGAAATTGTTAATGTAATATTAATTTAGTGGTGCCTTATAACTTTTCCGAATTTCAAATAAATAAGCAACATTTGATAATTAAAACTAATTAGTTTGATTTTACTGTTGGTATTTCTCATTTATTTTCTATTATTTATCTACAATTAATTTTTTTTCTCTCTTTCTTCTCACAAATATAGGCTTTATTTATGTTTGTGCACAAAATAGAGAATAATTAATCATAAAAACATCTTACATAATTGTAAAGGGACGAAAACTACTTTTTAATATCAAAAAATTTGATAATTATGTTTTATATATAAAAAAGGAAGATATATGTTTACCAGTCTAATCTAATAGCTTGCCACCGGAAGAATACTCCTTAGTCAAATCATTTTGTGTGTGATTTCGAAAAAATTTCAAAATTAGTCAAGTTGGAAAAAAAGTTATACTTGTCATTTAATAAAAAGAAAAACATTACTCAAATTGAGAAAAAATTATACATCTTTATTTTAATAAAAAAAGCATTACTCAAGCTGAAAATGAATTCTTCCTTTTAAAATAGTAAATTTGAGTTTAACTTAATCCTACAAAATTAACTTACAAAATAAGAATTACTCTTTATTTATATACTTTTTAATTATTTTATTTTTAGTTGGTGTAGGATTTGAATTATTTTCAGATACTTACTATTCAATATTTGTTAATCTTTTGAATAAGATTAGTTTTATAGATGATGATAATATTTTTTGGTAATGGAAAAAAGTAAAAAATTAACAACTTAAAATAATGTAGATGAATTGGCACGCGACAAACATATTGAACGGTTACTAATACCTATTGAAGACGCGTGGGGATTGGAAAGCTGGAAAAGGTCTTCATGGGGCTACCCATTCTTGTCTTGACCTTCTTTGTCCTTATTTCATGTTTTATTATTTTATGCCACCAAATTCTTTTAATTCAAACCATTCCCGCTATCTCCTAAACCATTCCCCTTATCATTCATTTTGCTCTAACAATTTTCTCACTCTAACATACATACATGTATGCTCTAAAAAAATGTGTTTTTAACACTTTACTAAAACGTTATCAAGTATTTATTGGCCAATTACCCAAATAAAAAAAATAATATATTAATGATAATGGTTGGATAAAATTAAGTAGAAGGGCTGAAGGGTGATTCATATGTTCAAGGTTGGATAAGCATCCTAACTCCTAAGATTCCTAACTCTTTCGATCGAAATTTCTAAGAAAAATAAATATTAAAATAAAAATGCCCATATAGCATTTTTCAGATATCAGCAAGCTATGCATGTAAGTTTTTTATTCAAATCATTTGTATCTGAAATGTACATTCTTGTGCACTCAGAAATGTAGTTTTAGTGGTCAAGTTTAGATATAATAGAGAGGACTTGTACAATTTTAGGAGTTTGAACAAGTATAAAAAGTACTTGTGAGATGGAAGAACAGGAGGACACAAAATAGTATTACATCTTGTGACAATTTCATCAAACAGCTGGCATTTTCTACTTGGAAAAGGTAACTAGATTTGTTAAAATTATTTCTTGGCTGGTTTTCTGTAAACTAAACAAAATAATATTATTGAAAGAGGAGGAAACTTCTACACAAGTGAGCTGCACCAAAATATGAAGATTTACTACAATGATGCAGAAGTCAAAAAGATAAGACAAAAAAAAAATATTTGATATGCAAAAGTATCACAACATTTCAAATGTGGACACCAACAAAATTATGCCTATGAATGCAACGGGTGTGAACACCAGTTGCATTTAACTACTCATCACACAGCCTCCTTCAGTCTTCAAATACCCTTCTCAATCTGTTGCTTCTGAACTGACATTTAGGAGCATTTTTCTTTTAACTGGTACAAGTAGGACCAAAACCTTTATTCTCTTGCTCCATCTCAGGTGTGTCCTAGCTTCAGCGAGTGCACTCTTAACCAAAATAAGGTGAGAATTTTGAAGTTGATTCGTGCATTAACAGGCCTTCCTGCATTATGTTCATAACATCAACAGCATTGTATGTTCTACTTTATAATCATAGGTTTCTTTTCCTTACAGCTTGTTGAATGTTTCTTGTGTGAGCATTATTTGCAAGTGCGTTTTTGTCTTCTTTCTGTAGTTTGTATGATTAGCCTCTATTGGAAAATCTAGTGTGAGTGGTTAGTCCTACATTAGTTAGGAAATGATTCAATAAAAAATATGCATGTAAGAGATGTGATGCACTTAATATCTTATGGTTTTGAGTAACCTTTGTCTTTCGCTAGTCTTTGTTATTAGCTTGCGAACTCTTCTCGGCATCTGTGTTGTGTGTTTCTAGCTTTTAAGCATACTTCACTATTTTTGGACTTAAATATAAGGTTTTTAGGTCTGCTCTGGGATATATGAGATCGACTTGGTACTCCCAAATCAATTTCCATCTTTGTTAAAATAATGTTTGTGTAACTCTATCATTGTTTGATAAAAGATGTTGAGAGTGGTTAATCTAGTTGTTTGGTTTGATCTAGAATGAGTGCATCTGAGGTAACAGCTGAAGCAACTGCAGTACATGTTAATTTAAGGGACAGCCAGAGTGTGCTTCAGGAAGAAGTGATTGCATCTTTGGAGTTAAACAAGGTTGATTATGCAATGGAAAGAAAGAAATCACTACGAGCTCGCTATTATTTTGGCATTATATTCTTGATAATGAATCTTGTTGCCTGGTTTTTCCGTGACTATGGGCATAGTGTTCTACCATTTATTCATTGTAAGTCAATTTTCTATCCATTTTCATTTTCCATTCTCAGACCACCAGAAATTTTACATGGCAGTATGAATTTCAGTTATCACAATATAATTTAGCTTCATTCTTTTTAACTATAAAATTAATTGGTATTAATTTGTAACTATGAATGATCATGGCCTCATACTCATTTTCATATTATCATATATTCATATTTAAATGTGAACTGTTAAACAAAATAAATTCACTCTTATGATGATAGTAAATTCCCATATAATCATATCATCTACAAATCACATATTGTTATTTACTTTGTACCCAACAGGCATTTTCAATTTACAGATCAGTAATGAATAGAATATTTGGAGAGTGGACAATCAGATATGTGACTATTCAAGAACAATTTAACTGCTGGATTGCATTTACATTGATGGTGAAACATTTTCCGAAAAAAATAGATCAATTTTGCATGTTTACAATTTTTGAGGTCATCAAGTGGTTTAGACCGTATGACACATATCCTTTGGTCTCTGTATATGCTTCAACTAAGAAAAACCCCATCTTCTATCCCATGGTAAACAAATCTAAATCCTCATTAAAATTATTAAGCTTTGCACGTCTATTATGGATACTTTAAAGTTGATAAGGTAGACTGCAAAAAATGATTTTATACACAGTTGCTTTATATAATTTTAATGTGTGCACACACACACCAACATGAACACCTAACACGATATGGATACGGACATTGGGATATGATTAATGTCCAAAAAGTAGGACACTGGAATACAACATGTATATATAAATTTTATAATTTTTATATGATAATCACTATAAGAAAATAAATCATATCTCTTAAAAGTTAAAACAAAGTAATTCTTATGAAAATAAGTCTCACTAAAAAAAATAAAAATGTTATGAGTCTTATAAATAAGTTGACTTTTTAATTTTTTTTATAATAAAAGTGTTAGATATGTGTTTACTTAGGAGAAGGAATCGACTCTTTATATTAATGTTCAAGTTGTGTTAGGAAGGTGTTAAAATAGTGTCAGAGAGGTATCGAAACAATTTTTTTTTAATGATGACATGATGTACATGTGTTGTGTGTGTTTCATACCGTGTCTAACAATTATCATGTCAGAAACATGTTAAACATACTGACACAGTATTTTGTAAATGTGTCAATGTTTCATAGGCGCACACACACATATATATATATATATAGAGGAGGGATTCTTTTACTCCAAGAATAAGTCTACCTAGTTCAATAACTCATGTTCTACATCAAATTTTAACGATTGAACCGTTCAATTTAAAGTTCTTGATGCATAGATCAAATCTGCAAATTTTTAAAAAATTTGAAAATCATTTGATACTTTGTTTCATTAATTCAAATCAATGTATAAAATAATTTTATGATTATCTGTCAATTTGAATTAATGAAATGAAGTATCAAATAATTTTCAAATTTTCTAAAAATTTGTAGATTTGATCTATGCATTAAAAACTTTAAATTGAACGGTTAGATCGTTGAAATTTGATGTAGAACATGAGTTATTGAACGGAGTAAGTCTAGGTAGACTTACTCTTAGAGTAAAAAAATTATATATATATATATATATATATTTGTCAAAGCTTATATAGTCAAATCTCTTGATGATGAAGCTTTCTTAGTGAAAAACAAATCCATTAAACATTTTTTCACGAACTTGTAGGACTTGACAAGTGATACTGTTTTAATTTCTACAGATATCAAAGTTTGTGGAAGTGAAGGAGACGACTGTTTTCATTCATTGGGAGTTCTTCGTGTGAGTTTAGGATGCTATGTATCTTTCAGTTATCAGAGTTTTTGCTTCATGATGAATCATTATGTACTGCCACTGTATCTCTGGATATAAGTCATATAACCCTATGAACAAAAAAACTCTTATTCAATAACTTACAACATGACAAATTGTATCTTGTGCCGACTTTCTTGAAATGCAAACAATATTTATAATGACCAAGCCTAAACTCAAAGGGATCTAAACATGATAGTTTCCTACACACTCTCACACACAATCATACATAAATACATACAGATATATTGGTTACAACTTTTTTTATTTTATTTTGTTATTACTTTCAGAACTGGATTCTCAGCAGAATATGTTAACAAAATATTGCAAGGAACAAGTAAGGATTAGAATCCTCCGTGCGTAGGTAATCAGAAAAAAAAAAAAAACAGATATTATGCACACCTCGAGTGTTATTCGAAATAAACATGAACCACATTCCTCCAAATCTTACTTATTGCAACTCTCAGCAGCTGTTCCTCTTTATTATATTAAGTTATGAGGTGTTGCATTTGATACTTGAGAAAAAATTATCCCTATTCTCTATATAATCTTCAGAATTGTTGGTTAGTAAGAAGAACTATGTTCCTTGACGATGAAGTCAGATATTTTTCTCAGTTATGTTTCTCACCACAGTCAAAACAAGAAAATTATGTGAACATCGAAATTGGTGGCATTCTGGATGGTGGGAAGTGAAGTCTGTTTTGTTGATTGTATCAATGGCACTCCCATTCTTCTTCCCATCAGAAATTGTTCAAATATATGGTAAGTTTCTTCTCTTCATAATTTTGGCAGAATGCCTTAGGATCTTAGTTATAATTGATCGTTTGAATTTTGCAATTGGTTTTTATATAACAATTTGGGATACAAAAAACAAAAAGAGAAGTTCTTGTACAATTACAAATGATTCATTTGAATAAAAGTCTGTCTTCCAACAATTTGATCAGGAAATTGTTCTATTTTATCATTAAAAAAGTTCTGTTTACTATTATTTATCATTATTCAAACATAACTCCTTTCTTCTTCTTTTCTTCTTTTTTCCTTGAATATTATTGAATAAGACCCATAACACTGCTACAATCTTGCAGGTGAGGTTGCTCGTATCGGTGCCGGGTAAGCTTCAGATCCTTCACCGGTATCTGTTTTATTTTTCTCTCTGCAGATTGTTGCTTACATGCATGTTGTGGTTCATGTTTATACAGAATTTTTCTTCTTTTACAACTTGTGAGTGTCATCCATTTTATCACTTGGTGGACTAAGTACTGGACTCCAGAAGAAGAAAGGAAGCAGAGGTACTCATCACTATTGCTGAAATATATCATAGATAAACAACCTAAAGTCATTTTTTACGTGTTCTGACTTCTTAGGATGAATACAACCTACCTCTGACTTCTGAATCAGAATTGTGTACTGGCTATTTTGGTGCCCAGTAAGTAGATTAGTAAAGACTTGTTTTTACATAATTTTAAAGATCTCAAGACTTCAAGGTTATATGAAAAATATTCATCATGATCTAGATATTTACCATGGGATGCATATCAATTGTTTTCCTAAAGTTTGTTACAGTGGACATTAACTTTGTTTATTATTTGAAAATAGTATTACCATGCACTCTGGAGATTAGAAAAACAAATTTGTAATATAAAATTATTCTGAAAGACACAAAAAAACAAATTTAAAGTATGCTTAAATTTAACTTAATCAAGTTCATATCTTAAGCTCACTAAGGATTTCAATGCATCTAATAACAACTTTGGGAGAACCACACCACAAAAGCTAACTATTATAGCTGGCGAGCTCATGGCCTTATAAGTCTCATACTTTTAATGTGAAGTCTTATACCTTGCAATTGGATCCTATAAGAATCCCATAAAAGCAATCTTACTAATTGTAAGAAATTCAAGGATATTGGATCAAATAACGGTGGTGTTGTCCTACTACTTAACTTGTAAGATTGCATCTCTTAAATAGTTTTCTTGGCCATATTACTTTATAAAATATGCTCCCAATTAAGAGTGAATAATTTAATGCTTATGAATCATAAAATACAAGCCAGTCTGATAGTTTACTTTCTTGAGGAATTTGTAAAAGTATGTGTCATCATATAACATTATGACCATTTTGTTATGCCATTTACCTGGATACATTAGCATGTTATTGTGTTGGCACAGGTGCTCCCTTGGACTTTTAATGTCAACGTTGTTCTATGTTGCCTCTATATGCGGTATTGTCTATCTGTACGAATCATATGCCTCAAGAATTTCATGCTCTCTCAATCTATTTTTCATCACATGGACAGTAATTCTACTTGCTGCAATGATGGTTATATCCTTAAATTCAAAGGTACACTGCTTTGACAACTGGGTTGCAGCTAGTGGCATTTTTAATAGTTTGCAGTGACAAAAGAAAAAAAAAACTATTTTTCATGTCCTTATTTTCTTTCTTTATCCTTAAGATGATATAATTTAATGTACAATATCTCAAGAGAAAAATGCACATTTTGACTTTAACTTTACCCTCATTTGGTAAACCATAAAGTTAGTCTTCCAAAATATGTCTTCACATTAGCTTTTCGAAAAAAAAATGATTTCCAATAAGTCTCTTAAAATCCTAAATGTTACCATATTTGTCGTCCCTAAATTTTGACACCCAATTTGTCTCTCAGATAAAAAAAATGTTTCCATGTCTGTTCTTATAAAGGAATATAGTGGTGACTCAAAATCTATGATTTCCATTAAGACAATTAAAATCTATGTTCTGTCATTTATATGATTAAATATTACAGGTTAACAGAGGTCTTTTATCTTCAGGAATCATGGCTTCTTACATTGTTTTCCTTTGTTGGTGTGCAATCAGAAGGTCAGGATTCTCTAACCCAAACATCTCTATAGAGATTCCTTGACTAATTTTTGGCATTATATCACTTCTATATAATATTTCAGATTTTTACCATGAATGATTATGGTATCGACCTCTCACATTAATAACCATGTAGAATGTAGTAACATTCCAACACTAAATTATAATAATTAACAAATTTACTATACATAACATCGGTGCATTTTAATTAAATTCTTTTATTAATTTTTTTCTTTTATTAATATTTGTAGTCACTTAAAAAATTTCCAATTGCTCTTCCAAAGTTCTCTATAGTGATTAAATTGGTTCTTTACAATCGTAATTAGATGATTTCTTAGTGGCATTTTTATAATTTTTTTTTTCAAGATGAATATTTTTTTTTCCAAATCATGAATTTTCTCTTTAATAATCCATATATATATATATATATATTCGCGAGAATAATGTAGTTATAATTACTTGATTTTGATGTTGATGAATAATTATAGTTCGGAGGGTCTCTTCCACTATTTTGAGGAAGTAATTCTATCCTTTGACGTGTTGGGTGTGTCTAGGGCAGCTTTTCTTGAACAATAGAAATGGAAGGGAGAAAGTGTCTTGTACCACTTAAAATGCTGTTTTTTTTTTTTCCAGACACTGAGTTTTAATAAAATTTATAAAACTTCCCTTTTGTGTATCAAGTGGTGCGTCACGTTAGCATATATTATTTGGATGAAGATATAACAAAATTCCCTTCTTGCAATGTAATTCACCCAGCTGTTGCTGATGCCATAATTATTACTTTGTTTTCGCTGAAGAGTATACAATTTCAAATATATTCTATTGGATTTTATATGCGCTAACTTGATTCATTGTCAACTTCAAATGATATACTTTAATTTGAAATTTCTTCTAGAGATGGTATACTTACAGAGATCTCCATCATGGAATTTCAGTGAACCTGCCACCATAAGATGTGAGACAAAGAATCATGAGAAAGGAAACAGTGGCTGGATAATTATACTTGTAAGTTTTTCACTCATTGTTGATGAACATTTTGTTAAAATTGCTTAGTAATTAAGGATAGGGAAAAGTCACTTTGTAGGATCAGCCAAAGTGGGGAGATATAGTATCTAGCCTAGTCTGTCTCAGTTTAGGAATCACAATACTTCAATTGTTATGCTAAATTCATATTTAACGCAGTGTTGTAATAAAAGCGAGAACCTCCTACAAGGATAAAGTATGTAGAAGTATTCAACACAACAAAAATAGTACGTAGAATTAGATGCATAGAGATTAACTGATCATGTTTACACTTACTGGCATATACTATACCATATGCTGTCTAGTTTTCTTGCATGAGCAAGTTTTACCAATGCTACTGTTAGATTTTTTACTAGCCCTCTGCATTCATTTTGCTGACTCTGCAATCTACATTATCTTTGGATATGCAGTTTATGTGTGTCTGTGAATTAGAATTAAAATACATATTATCTCATACTATGGATGTATCTTTACGTGAATGCTTTAGTCATCCTGTTATTTTGTGTTATATACTATTTTCTTAACAGGGCTTCCTTATTGCCATTTTTGCAATTGTGATGGCAGCATTTTCCACAGGCATTGATTCAAAATGCTTTCAGGTGAATAATTCTTCAGAGTCTTCTCCACTAAATTCAGAAAATGTTTCTTCAAAATCCCATTATCAACCCTTTCCTAGAAATTAGGGAGTTGTAAAGCATAAGCTCCATTCTTTGATCTAACAAGACACCTCAACTAAAGTAAAATGTTCTTTTAGAAGTCAAGAGAAAATAATTCCCTCCATAAGATATCCATAAAGATAGATTATATTACCAAAAGTCGTTAAGTTAAATGATTCACCATTTGTATCCCTTATCAAGGAAATTGAGGTTTAATCTCCAGCTTGGGCACACAGTCATCTTTACCTCTATAGAGGCCGACTCGGTAGGAAGAAATTATACCATCTTACTAAACTGAAAAAAAAAAAAAAGACAGATCATAGTCATTTCATCAGCTTCTCAATATCCAAATCAGCATTGTTGAATTCAAGCCACTTATTGTGACAGATAGAGAACAATCAGGGTGATAGATAAAATCGTAAAAATGATGTTTGTATCCTACATATTGAAGTGATTTTTTTGATCCTTTCCAGTTTTCAAATAACAAAGTTGAGCATGAAGATGATATTCCTTACAGTTATGGATTTTTTCATATGGTATTCTCCTTGGGGGCAATGTACTTTGCAATGTTATTCATCAGTTGGGATCTAAACAACTCAGCCAGGAAGTAAGGAACCTAACCCAATGTTATCCATCAATGTACTTTTTTATGTGTGATGATTCTTGACATCTTATATGCTCTTTATTTCTTTTATGAATCATGCAAACATCAAACCACCAGGTGGAGCATTGATGTTGGCTGGATAAGTACATGGGTGAAAGTTATCAACGAGTGGTTTGCAGCAACAATTTATAGTAAGTGAATGACTATTACTTACATAGAAACAGTTATTTCCTATATTTCAATAGCTTCAACTTCAACCATAATCTTGTTGATATTTATAAGACAAATGTTTGCTTGAGATGTACAAGTAATGATCAATACATGATAGTAATAATAGCTTGTAATGGATTGCCAAAGTGAAGTACTACTAGGCAGTTTGATAAGGCACCTACCTCTCCAATTCATATCTTAATTTCTTTCATTTTATTTGATTTGAACAGTTTGGATGCTGATTTCCCCAGTTGTGAGACAGAACAAAGTTATGGATAATAATGGAACTGTTCAGGAGACAGCTGACTCAGTTATGGCTTGATTGACAATGGCAAAGTCATCGACATTCTCCCTTTCAGTTTTCTTTTTGTTATTCCTTATTTAAATTGCTTTTTTATACCTCTTTTTATTTAAATTATTCAATTTGGTTCTTTATTTTTAAAATACTTAATTTGGTCTGTTAATTTTTAAAAATAATCATCAATGTCTCCTTTCCATCGGTTTGACAGCAACAATATTAGTCTGGTTAGACGTCTCCATTTTCACAATTGACAATGTCACTTTTCCCTTGATGTTGTTAGTGTGGATTTGGAGGGAAGAAGATTAGATATTTTTAGAAATTTTAAAAATTAAATTATATATTTTAAAAATAAAGTAATTAAATAGAACAAATTAAATAAAAACAAAGATAAAATGAGAAATTTAATCTTTGTATTTTATTTTTCAACCCACTTAATCGTAATGATTGAAAGATAAATGTCAACAATAAAATAAAATAAGAGTGTTCATGGTCCGCTTTGATTTGAACTTAGAGTAAATTAAAGTTTGAATCAATCAATCTTTATTAATTTGGTATAGATTGGATTTATTAAAAAATTATTGCGATCCAAATTAAACTAAATCAAATTAATCAATAATGGATTAATTTGATTTAAATTAATTGTTTTTCTTTAAAAAAAAGGCAAACATTGATTTTTGTGAAACAAAAAATACTTTACTTTATCTCAAAATTTAAATAAAAATTTATCATTAAAAAATGTAAATAACATTCAAGTGTAATAAAGAAAGCAATGTAAAAAAATAATATTAAAGTAATTTAACATAGTCTAAAATTTGAGATTTAAGATATTCTAATCTTTATAATTAAATTATTGAAGTTAGAAACATACATTTGGTCTAAGTACAAATAGTGTATTATAATTGTAATGGGAGTGCAGGGTAGCTAATAAAATAAAAGTATTATAAAAATATTAATATTATAAAATAAAAATATCATAAAAGAACTATTGTAATTAATATTGTTAGAGTTAGTGTGGTATGGTAGTGTTGCATTTATGAACATACTTTTAGTGTCGAGTGTAACATTACATGACATATAAAACACTTTTTATGTTGCATGTAACTATATCTGTCATAGAAATCAACACATTTTATAATAGGTGTAACACATTTTATAATAGGTGTAACACATTTTATAATAGGTGTAATTATACTTCTCATTGAAAGGTTGTAGTCAATTTAAAAAGTTGACCTCACCAAAATATTCCATGATATAATTACATTTGATATAAAAAGTTCTTTTTTTTTTTTTTAGTAAAACCACACTCGTTGCAAATAATTTTATCATATTTATGATCATAAAAGCTTAATTTTATACTAGCAAATAATAATAATAATAATAACAATTTTAAATGGTTTGATTTTTAGATTATTGAATTTGTAAAATGTAATTTATAATCTAAACTAATTAATATTAAATTTAATTGATTTAATTAAAAAAAGTTTAATTAATTTAATTCAAATCATTAATTTTATTGAATTGTCTAGACCGATGAAGAATCCTAAAATATAAAATGATAATAAAAATATTCTGCTTTGGGTTGCTAATCTAACTGAAATATATTTTCTAAGATTGTAGCATTTTCTCTTATATCTCACTTTGTTCTTGTAATTAGCTGATATCATTTCACAGTATTTAAATCCAAATCATGCTTAGCAATATTATAATCTAACGTATATACAATAATACGAGCTAGTCGTGATTGGTTAGCTGTAGTGGGACCACAAACTACGGGTTGTGTTGGTAGCATTTTTTCAAGTGTTTGTTAATCTCATTATTTTTTTTATCCATGAAAATCAAACACACATATAAAAGAGTTTACAACATTTACACACGTGTTTGACTATATGAACTAAAACTCATTAATTTTTAATTATTTAAGACAGTGACAAAGTTCCTCGCTGGGAATGGTATAAGGTGCAAGGTCCATTAAGAGATAAGGAAAGAATTAATTAAGCAATCAATTTCCAGGGACTTATTTGATATGTATCAGGCTTATTATAGTACATATTTGGAAAAGTATTTAAAATCTTGTCTAAAGAAAGTTGCCAACTTCTGATATAAACTCTTGTAATTGTAACTTCTGTTATTATATGAATTTTTGAACCGGGGGTTACCAACGATTATATGGGACTTCAATGTTCACAAGTGCAGAACTTTATAAATTTTGTAAATTAAATTTTATACTTTAGTTTGTTTTTATGAAATTTAAATTAAATACATACTTTGCATACAAGAAAGTTACAAAAAAAAAAAAAAATTGCTTCAAAATACATGTATAGACCAAAAGAATTAATATGTTTATTATAACACTTAATTGGGTCAATAAAACTTGTCTAAGAGTGTGTTTATATACAAATTTAAAAGAATTTTTTATGTAAAATAAATAACTTTTTTCAATCCATAAATTTAAAAAAAAACATTTTTAATTTATATATAAACAAAATCTAAGAAGAAAAAACAAAACATGAGTGAACATTTGAAAGAAAGAAGACAAACTCATTGCACGGTTGGTTTACTCCGATCCATTCCAAAAATGAAACCAAAAATAAAATCGGCTAATCTAATTTGCTCAAGCCACAACTAATCTATTAGTATATATATTCTTAATTTTTTGTTAACATTTTTAACAACTTCATTACCACCCATATATAGATCACAACTACTCCACCACACACACACTACACTACACTCCTTACCATATAAGACCAAGAGTTGAATTGCATTTCACTCGATATTTCTAACCATCCATATTCCATCCAATTCTCCATAACAAAACATGTCAATGAGATCAGCAGCCACACTTTTTTGTGTTGCCATGTTGCTTGCCCTAGTACTCATGCCAATGCCAATTTGCATGGCAATAACAAGCACACCCATGATTGAGTTATACATGCATGACATTCTTGGTGGCAGTAACCCTACAGCACGGCCAGTGACAGGTTTGTTAGGCAGCATATACAGTGGGCAAGTGCCCTTTGCCACCCCAGTAGGGTTCAACACCCCACAGGGTGGCATTCCCCTTCCCAATGCCAATGGTGCCATTCCCACAGTCAATGCTGTCACTGGCATTTCCCTAGGAACTGGCTTGGCTGGCACAACCTTTGCACCAAACAACAACAACAACAATGCACAGTTAGGGCCTGATGGGTTAGGGCTTGGATTTGGAACCATAACTGTGATTGATGATGTGTTGACATCTCAGCCTGAGTTGGGGTCACAGATTGTTGGGAAGGCTCAAGGGGTGTATGTTGCCAGCTCAGCAGATGGGAGCAGGCAGATGATGGCATTCAATGTGCTTTTTGAAGGAGGGGAATATGGTGACAGCTTGAACTTCTATGGATTGTATAAGATTGGAAGCACCATGTCAAAGTTGTCTGTGATAGGGGGCACAGGGAAGTTCAAGAGTGCAAGGGGGTTTGCTGAGCTCAGACCTCTTATTCCACCAGGGCAAGTTTCCACTGATGGTGCTGAGACACTTCTCAGGATCACTGTTCATTTGCACTACTAATAATTAAGCTGTGGTGGTGTGGATGTGTTACAGATGATGATTTTTATGAGACTGGTCTTGTATTTTTTTTGTCTGTTTGGTTGCTGAATGTATTTGGAATCTTGGTTGTAATCCCATCATGAAAACCTTTTGGGGGTGTTCATCCTTTTGAATTTGGCAACTTGCCCTAGGTTGATGAAAGAATTTGGCTACTTCTTATATTAATTTTAGCTTTCAACTCGGTTAATCTTCTGTACATAAAAGGCAAACGAATATATATGATGTGTTTGGATAAACTTTTCTAAAAGTAATTTTAGAAGATAAAAATAAATAAATAAATAAATAAATTTCTTTATGTGAGTTAAAATTAATTTATGTATAAAGGTCTATTTGGATAAGCTCTAGAAACACTTTTAAGAGAAAAAATTAAAATAATTTTTTTCATAAATTAAAATTAGTTTTTACCAAAGTTAAAAATAAAATTTTAGAGAAATTAGTTGAATAAAACTTTTATAAACTAATTTTTGCATAAATTAATTTTAACTTAAGGAGAAACTTATTTTATTTTATTTTTTTTTCATATTTTTCTTTCATATGATTGTTTATGGAGAAATTTACTCAAATAAAACTTAAGTTGATTTGTAGAAGCTCTTTTCTATTAGTTTCTCCAAAATTTGCTTTTAACTAAAGCATTAATTGATTTTAATTTATGAAAAAATATTCTTATTATTCTTTTTTATAAGTACTTTAGAAAAAGTTTATCAAACATGTCCATAATATATGTAGATGTAAATGTCTTGTGCACTATTATTTAATCAAACTAAGGAATTAAGTTTGTTAATTTTTATAAATTTTCACGATATATCAATCTCATATCATCTTTCTTATTTTAAAAAATTCAATCAATTTTTTCCAACCAAATCACTCATCAAAGTTTCTTAATGGAACCGTGATTCAATCAATTTTTTCCAACCAAATAACTCATCAAAGTTTCTTAATGGAACCGTGAACCAATAAAATCAAGTACATAGAAGGAGATCAAGTGAATAAAGTTTCTTAGGCGATTGATTGCCTCACGGAGTCGCAATTTGACTTTGACCTGCTTCAAATGTAAATAATAAAACAACTCCAAGATGAGTAGCATACATAATACATATGTTATTGTCGTTTCCACGAGAAGAAGCACGATTGATTTGATGTGTCGTGCGTAAAAGAGTAAAGAGAAAATGAAGCTTAAAAAATATGTATTTGGACGATTTATTTTACTCTTTTTAATTTTTTAATGGTTTAAAAATGTACCGTATCCTAGGATTTGAAGGTTAATGCTTACCGATACCATTATTATTATTATTATTCGCATTTTAAGTAAATTATATATGAAAATACAGGATTATCAAGTAACATATGACAAAAAAATTCAAGTGGCCTATTGAGATTTAGATGATAATCACTTGAACAAGTTAGTTTGTACAAACGGAATATATATATATATATATATATATATATATATA